CACGCACATCTGGCTTTACACGCACATGCTTATCTGCTTTAGCTCTGAACCTCACGCAATGCGGGCACCAGTCAGCATAAGGCATGTGGCTTAACTCGTGGCGCCTCTGCTCCTCAGCCGTGGGTGCTTCCACGAACTTTTGCTCACGCAACGGCTCACGCCCATCCGTCTGGAACTCGTGCTGCTGCAGCAGCTCCTGCGTCTTCAGGTGCTGCTCTATCCGCTGGAGGACTGTCTTCTTGCCACCTGACTTACCTATCCCAAGGACTTGGCATGCCGTCCTGAGGGTGCTTAGGGTACAACCCAGGTGAAGCTCTATGCCATTCACGATTACATGCCCTTGGGCTGGCACATCCTCGGCTTGAACAAGTGGTCCAACGCCTCCCCCGTCATCACCAGCAGCAACATTTTCATCGTGCTCATCATGCTCTTCAAAATTCATCGCATCATCTGGCACATCGGGAAAGTCATCATCGTGCATTGCTGCTGAAGGCATGGCATTGGGCACACGAGAGAACAAGCTGTCGATGTTCACGGGATGCACAGAGCCAATGGTGATGGTCTGACGGTTCACCGGAGGGGCAATTTCGCAATCTGCTTGATCAAGATTTTCCACAAGGCTGTTGACCTCAATCACTTGCCAGCCTGTGGGTCTCTGCTGCAGTGTCGTCCTGTATGCCACCCCTTTGTGCCCAAGTGGGACTGTTACACCAAGGAAGTTTGTGGTGTAGTCTCTCCGGGCAAAGATGCCGGGCTGGACCTCGACAAAATTATCCGGCAGGCTTAACCAAACATCCCCGACCGTCAGCGCCATTACAGCTCTATCGCCCTCTCGATCAAAACACGCTGACACATTCATGATTGTTCCCGTGGCGTGCAAAGAATTGTGGCGATAGTGTAACGGTACACGGATTGCATTGTCCGGGCTTGTCAAGAAAGGGGTATTGTCGGTATGTATCAGATTCCAACCCCGTTTGAGGAGTTTCCCCACACTAAACAACGGTTGCGCCACACTCCCTAACAACCACCTTTCCTTGAACTGAACCCCATCTATGTCAAGCACTGCCGTCCTCATCTGCGATCCGGAAATCACACTTCCCTGAGCATCACGATAGCTGTTGTTCGTGGTGCCCCCAGCAACCCCAACATGGCGCCAGGATTCAGGCAGGCACGACTCGTCTGAGCCTGAGTCTATCACTAGCTCGATAGTGGTTCCTGGCAGCCCGGTGGTCACTGCCCGCACATGCAGTTCATCGCGCGCATCAGCACTCTTCTGAGTCATCAATGCGTGCCTTATCCTCGCCGGGACATGTTTGCTGACTTCACACTTGCGCACGGCGTTGCATTCGGCGGCAAAGTTGCTCGCATGGGTGCTCAAACACGCAGCTGCACAGGCAGGCCTGTCACTAGGCATCAAGTTGATACCACGCAGTTCGCCCTCAGGCACGGTCCAGGCACCATCTTCATCTGCATATGACATGTCAAACATCTCAACGCTGGTGCTCTGAACAACAGGCTGCAACTCGGCTGGCTTAGGTGAAGTCACCGCTGCATTGGCAACCGATTGGCACACACTCACGAAGCTCAACCAACTTGGGTCAGGGTCGCCCTGGTGGGATTGCCCATCGCACATGAGCACTGCATTGATGCGACCCTCTTGGCAAATGGTGAACTCCGGGCCTGTCATGTCAATCTGCTAAACTTCAAGTCGCTCTTTTTCCTTGAACCAGTAAAGGCGCTGTCGGTAAAACATGAGTCACAAATCCACACATGCTCATCAACCCTTTGGGTTGGTAGGTGGGGTTCCCAGGTAGTAGAAAAACTTTACACCCCGCCTTGATGTTGTGCGAACTGTAAGCTCAACATCACTCTACAGTAACGGGTTTGTAGAAACTGTACAGGTATGTCGTTGGGCTCATCTGGTATTGTGCGATGGCCTCGTTGTGCTCTCCCTATTGGAGTCCTTGCACTCGGTGAAAACTGTTCCCACTGCTTCCTCGTGGGTAACACTTCGCTCAGGTAAGCTTGTACTCGTTGTAGCTCACACTGTACGGAAAAGTGAAACATTCCATCAACAGCCTTACTGGATTTGATTGTAGCAATTCGACAAAAGTTAGGCTACAAGGCTGGAAAGTATCCAAACAAGCCCTACCACAAAGGAAGAACAGCGAGAGTGGAACGCCACATTCAGAACCTCAGGAGACAAAGCCTCACGATGATTGAAATGGTCGAGGATCGGATTGGGGAAAAGATTCCTGAAGATCATGCTTTACGAGCGTGGGCAATTCACCACGCAGCATGGTTGTTCAACAGGTACCACCTACACTCAGGGACGCAGAGTACAGCTTTCCAATTGGTCTACGGGAGACCATACCAAGGGCAGATTTTACCCTTCGGAGAGTATGTGTTTGGTCTGGCCAAGCCTGGAGGAGTGAAGAATCGATCCTTGTGGACAGGAGGAATATGGGTTGGAAAGGACGACCGGGACATGGACGTGATTACATCAAAAGATGGGATCTTTACGTCAAGATCTGTGCGGCGCACACAACCAGCGTGGCGCGCACGTGAGACCCTTCAACTTCAGGGTTCTCCTTGGACGAAGAAAGCCCCAAGGCTAGGGCACACCGCGCATGCGGCACCGTTACCGAGAATCATGGAAGAACCAGGCAAAGAGAAAGAAGGAGGAGAAAATGAGCCAGAGCCAGCAGGAGATGAAGCAGGATCTGATGTGGAAAGTTCAAAGCATGACACAATCAGTGATCTATTGCTGAGCAGTGGTCAACCTACACCTCGAAGTTCATCAACGGATTCCAACCAAGGCGGGGGACAAAAGAGAGAAACTGAAGGAGAAGGAAGAGAGGAACCTGCGAAAGCTAGTAAAACAGCAGATGCTGAGGAGCCACCAACGAAGCAACAAAAGACTGCGGAAAGTTCACCTACAAGTGCTGATCCTGGAAGTCCGAAAGGAAGTCTATTTCCACCGTTGTACGCCGGACAGGTAGAAGAACAGGAAGACGAAACAGGATATCATGAAGATGACCTTTGGGAAGAAAGAGTCTGGAAGGAATGCGAAGAGGAATATGAAGCGGATAGTGAAGGAGAAGAAGAAGATGAGGATCGACCACCGAAAGTCAGCGAAGAGGAACTTGAAAGATTGGATGCAGAGGCAGGAAAAGCTGAACTTGACAAACTCGCCAACATGAAGGTTGTGAAGACGATCAAGAAGGAAGAGTGTTCAGAGGAAGGTAAGTTTCTGACACTAAGGACAGTTTTCGATTGGAGAAAGAGAGATGGAGTTTGGAAGCGTAGATGCAGAATTGTGTGTCGGGAATTCCGTGCGGGAGCCCAGAGCACGGAGGAGACTTTTAGTCCTACGTCAGGACACGCAGCAGTGCGAATGATGTTTCTTTTTCATCTCATCTACAATTGGGAGCTTACAGTTCTTGACATTCGTGACGCATTCTTGCAAGTCACGCAGAAAGCTCTGATGTATGCTGATATCTCACCGTGGATTCGAACACTACTTGGTTTGGATGAAGACCACGTATGGAAAGTGGAGAAGTGTCTGCCAGGGCAAAGATCAGCGGCAGAACAATGGTTTACCCATTTGGTTGAGATTTTGAAGCGTTTGGGATTTGAGCAATTTGTTGGGATACCCTCAATCTTGAAGCACCGAGTGAAGAAGATTGCAGTGTCGATTCATGTCGACGACGAGCTAGTTGCAGGTGCAAAAGGCGAAGGAAGATGGCTGATATGCGAGCTAGAGAAGTTTTTCAAGCTCACAGTTGAGGGACCGTTCCCATCCCACCGGGGATCGGGAGAACAGCTTCATTACCTGAAGAGGACCTATGAGTTCCTTGAAGAAGGAATTTTGGTGACAGTGTCGAAGAAGCACTACGAGAAGCTTAAAGGACTCTACAAGCTGGGGAACCGAAAGCCAAGACAAACCCCAGAGCACCAGCTGATTGGAACAGTGGACAATTCCAAAGAACTGGAGGAGAACGAGTGCAAGAAGTTTCGTTCAGCGTTGGGAACACTGTTGTACATTTCTCAAGACCGATGGGATTTACAGCATGTGACGAAGTGTTTGGCAAGTAAGATGTCGAAGCCAACGGAACAAGCGTTAACCTGTTTGAAACAAGCTTTGCTCTATGTGCAAGGAACAGAGCAACTGGGATTCCTACTGAAGTACACAAAGGTTGGAAACAAGATGATGGATGCGATCTATCAAAGAGAAGAGCAAGAAGAAGAAGACGAAGAAAAGAAAGGAACACACAGTATGGAAGTATTCACGGATGCAGATTGGGCATCAGACCGTGAAGCGAGATGGTCTACATCATCAGTGATTGTGTGTGTGAATGCAGTGCCAGTACTTTCGTATAGCAGGACCCAGAAAGCTACAGCTTTAAGTTCGGCAGAGTCCGAAGTGCTAGCATGCTCAGGAGGAGCATCAGAAGCGATGTTACTGAAGAAGTTGTGGATGTTTCTTGCAGGAAAGTTACTCGTGGAGATCCGGATGGATTCAAGTGCGGGAAGACAATGGATGATGCGAACAGGAGTCGGAGGACTCAAACATATCGATCTGAGAGTATTATGGCTTCAGCGAGGGGTGAAGAACAACAGCTTCAAAGCAAAGCCAGTGCCTACCAAATTAAACATTGCCGACTTGAATACAAAACGCTTAGGAGTATCTCGAAGGAGATTTCTCATGTACCATATTGGAGCCATGGTGTGGAATGGAGAAAGTCATGAGCGTTATGGGAAAGAAGAAGCAATGGAACATGTGGCAGGTGAAGTTTGCCGAAGCCAAGTTCGAGCACTACGTGCAACTTTGTTGAGTGAGCGAGGAAGCAAGACGGCTAGAGCGATGTACTTGACAATGATGGTGAATATGATTTCTCAGATTGCAGGACAACCAGACGATTTTGGAGGACGAGAACGAGAAGAACGAGAATTTGTTTTCATCTATGTGAAGGAAGTAAGTGGATGGATTATTCTTTTCAGTGTGCTACTAGGAGGAATTTTCGCTTTACTCTTGTTCTACATGGTCGAGCAGAAGGTGAACGAAGGACGACAGGAACCACAGGAAGAAGGACCACAGGAACCACAGACCACAGGAAGAAGGACCACAGGAACCACAGGAAGAAGGACCACAGGAACCACAGGAAGAAGGACCACAGGAACCACAGGAAGAAGGACCACAGGAACCACAGGAAGAAGGACCACAGGAACTGCAGGAAGAAGGACCACAGGAACCGCAGGAGGAATTCACTATTCGAAGATTTGTGCAAAAGTATTGTCCGCCCGATGAGGATGATGTTCAACGTACAGCAAGGGCAGTCAATATGTATTTCCGTGATGCACCAGAGGATTCAGCGACAGGCAGTGGTAATGGGATGCCTGGAATCAGTACAGTACCAGCAAGCCAAATCCATGTGAATGACGAAGAGCTTGCAAGGCGATTTCAAGAATGGGGAATGGTTAATATCATTCCTATGGCACAGGATGTGGACGAACAGCTACGAGCACAACCCCAGTATGTGTACACGCCTCATGGCAAGAGGTACCACCGACCTACATGTGCAGATGTGCAAAGGTCAGAGAGATTCACTTACAGTGCAGCAGTGCATGCGAGATTGCACTACCGTCCTTGTGGCAATTGCAGGCCCGGGACCATGTGAGTGAATCCACATCAATCGCAAACAGAACTTCTTCGGAAATGTAGTTCATCTCGAGAGAAAACTTCACCACTTTCTCGGCCAACTTCTTCGTCGGTGCTTTCCCCGGCACTGGAATCGCCCACGAAAATCGAGTCCATGAATCAAGAATGATCAGACTCACACTGTTCTGACCCATGTACATGAAGTCCATCTGGATCACTGGCTTTCCTGGGTCTTCATACTTTGCTTCACTGCTTTGTGGGGTATGGTCCTGTTTCGACTTTGCTGCTGCACAGAAATCACACCATGGTTGCATTGGCATGTGGGTTGCCATATGCTCTTCAATCTCTGCTTCTGTCGGTTCGGGCACTCCGGGTCTTGTTCTTGCTTTGGGCCTTTGCTTCCTCAGCCTGTCTGCAACTTCTTCTGTGTCCTCATCTCTGTCTTCGGTGAGGTAGTTGCACAGTCTCCTGAACATCTTCACCTTTGACCCTGAGACGCTCAAACCCAAATACCGACAACCTTCTCGCAGCTTCTCAATCTCACTCGTTGCTGTGAGTGACTCTCCATTCACCACAATAGTACTTCCCATGTCGAGTTCCAACTCTTGGTGTCCTCCTGCCTTTCCTTGCTGCTTCACAACTCCTTTCGGCACTGGCACCTGCAACTCTTCTGGAGCTCCTCTTTCTCTTCCAAACCATTCTGGCTCCTCTTCCATCTTCTTTTCTTCCTCCTTTGGTGCTTCTTCTGGTGCTACCTCTTCTACCAAGCACTTGTCCAGATACTCTGGTGTCCTGTGCAAGAATGTGAGAATTTCTGATCGAAAAAGCAATCCCGGTATTCGATCTTCCAAGTCGGATTTTCGCTCGAGCAATTCCGTTGCTTCAATCACTTCCCATTCGTTGCCCACCTTCACGATGGTGGTCCTGTACTTCCAAGTACCTGTCGGCGGCTTTACAAACTCAAGTCCAAAATGGCGATGGACTGGCGTTCCATTCGGTAGAAGGCTCCAATCCTTCTCTGGGACTTTACCAAAGTCATAGGCCAAAGTCACCTTGACTGCCCTGACTTGCTCGACTCCTCTAACTTCCGCTGTCAATCTCAAGCTATTCCTCTGGTATTCCACAGGCACCCGTGCCTTACCATCGGGAGATACAAGTTCCCCCGCCTGGGTTTCTTCTCCCCAGGTCTCGCCCCCCTGGCGCTGTTTGCATCCCACTGACACAAACTTCCATCCATTTTTGAGTAGCCTTCCTAAAGACAGCAAGATGTTATTGGTGTCCGACAACACAAAGTCCTCAGTCACACTGCAGCTACTGAACTGCAAAACTGCTCGCCGCATACCTTCAACTCGCATCGCACCCCCTTGTGCGTCTTGCAACCTCAGAGAGGTTGGGGTCGAAACTTCGACGCCTGCATCCGACAATCTTCGTGGTAACAAACTCACATCTGCTCCTGAATCCAAGATCACCACATGTTGCTTTGTGTCCAACTGGACCATTCGCACATTGAGAGGTTCCGATCCTCCCTGACTCAGAGGTTCCAATCCTCCTTGACTCAGAGGTTCCAATCCTCCTTGATTCAGAGGTTCCAATCCTCCTGGAGGTCCCAAATCCTCCTTGAACTCTTTCCAAGCTGTTTTCATACCATTGATACAGCTCATCACTCTCATGATCTTGTTTGTTCTCACTCTCATCCCCGATGTAGTAGCACTCTGGTCCTTGCACCTCTATCCTTCTGGTGAACCAATCACCTTCTTCTTCTGAAACTTCGCTAAGCTCATAGTGCTCTGTGCCGTCAGGTGGTGTGTTCGCAATGTGATGGAAATCAATGTTCCTCACTCTCCTTATCCTGTATTGGCTCGCACTCTGCGACGGAGTAACAGACTCGACTGTCGAGTGGGGTACCTCGGTGCTGGCCTCGCTCGCCTGCACTTCTCGAACATTGCGGTTTGGACACTCGTTTCCCCAATGTCCTCGCTGCTTGCAGAATCGGCAAACATCTCTGTCCAACTTCTTTCCTCCACCTTTCTTTCCTCCTTTGCCATGCTTTCCACCTTTCTTTCCGCCTTTCTTTCCTCCTTTGTGGAAACCTTTGCCTCGTCCTTTCTTTCCTCCTTTGTAGCTTCCTTCTCGTCCACCTTTTCTCCATTGGCGAAATCCTGCTCCAAAGCTTGACCACGAGTAGGATCCTTTTCCTCCTTTGTTTCCTTTGTTGCCTTTGTTTCCTTTTCCTCCTCCTTTCTCGTACACTGCATCCACTTCCATTGGTGCTGGTCCTTGATCTGCATTCGAACTGCTCGCTGTGTTCTGCAAGGTCTTTTGCTTCAACACCGTCTGGTAATCCCAAGTTTTGCTGCTTTGCTCGTATGAAAGAATCGCTTGCTTCACTGACATGTAGTTTGTTCCTTCGGGCATTGTCAAAGTAAGGTGGTCTCGAATCGCCCTCGGTGAACATCGAAGCAAAACTCCCATCAACAAATCTCGATCGTAGGTCTTTCCTGAAGCGATCTCGTACTCCCGAACAAGGTTTTCCAGTGAACCAATCTGCTCCACCATGCTCTTGGCCCCATCGAAGTTGGGAAACATCCCAATCGCTTGACTGAGGGTTAGAGCTCGTTGTTTGGTGGCTGGTTGGTATTCCCAAAGCAAACTTTGATAGAGACGATACCCACATCGCTCCCTGCTCCAATTTCGAGACAGTTGCGTTGCTGCTCCCCGCATATACGAAGTCAGTATGTGGTAAAGCTTTGTCGAAAGTTCTCTCTCCACTGTAGTGAGAGTCGAAACATCGATCGGCGTTGCTCCCAGACTTTCAATCATACTTAGAGCTTCTGAGTACTGCGAATCGGCAAAACCTAGCCAATTCAGAAACTGATGTTTCCAGGTTGTAAAATCCGGTGGATGCTCTCCCGAGGCTTGTGGGTTCCAAACATCTGGTGCCTTGATCGCCTTTGTCGCACTTTCAATCCTTCGGTTCAGATCATCCGAACTGCTTGCTTGTTGCTCCAACCTTTGTAGCGCACTCATTCCAACTTGGGTCGCCCTTGTCAATGCAGTCAGAATTTCAGAAAGTTCTGTGGGTTGTTGGGGTGGTACATTCTGCTGCATCCCTTGCACTGCAGAAAACTGTAACACGACAAGCACACACAGCATCGCTCCTCTCTGTTGTTTTCTCACACAAGCACACGAACGCAAGTGATCTCTCCGTGCCCCTCTGCTCAAGCGCCTCCGAAAACATGAATGTTGCAATCTCCACAAACATGACTGACGACATGACTGCAAGTGCACTGTCGCTTGCAAACATCCAATGCACAACATGATCGCACCTGATACTCCAAGCATAAGCATCATTGCCATTCCTCCATTGTAATCGAATTGCATAGTCTTGGGGTCGTAGAGGTTCTTTGCTCCTGGAATGCTGGTCCAAATCCACATCACCAATGGATCTCTTGTTCCATTCATAGTCTTGTCGGAGTAGAGGCTCTTGTTTGTACAAGGCCAGAGAATTTTGATTCCTCCTGGTAGTCGATCTCTGTTTTCTCCTCCTGGTAGTCGATCTCTGCTTTCTCCTTCTGGTAGTCGACCTCATCGTCCTGACCAATCTCCCCATTCATCTTCCTCATTTCCAGGGTTTGGCTCCTCGCCCCTTTCTCGCATTCTCCTCCTTTCTGCTCTCCTCCAAGGAGAATTCGGGTAGAGCGTAGTGGCTTGCGTTGCTCCCCCTCGCTTCGGTGGTGGTCCCTTTGGCTCTGGAGGTGGCGCCTTGCTTCCAGCAGGTCGTTCCTTCGGAGGTGGTCCTCTGGAACTGCTCCCTGGCTCATTTCTCGCATCTTCCATCCTGGGTTGTAGGGTCCCAGGTCCCGTCCTGGGTTGTAGGGTCCCAGGCCCCGTGTCTCGGCTGGAACTCGCTGTTCCACTGCTTTGGCTTCGCTGGCCGTACCTGGCTCGAAAGTATGCAACTCCACGAGCAAATTCCTTGGATTCCCTGGCTCTTGCTTCGTCTCCTGAAGGAATTGCACCGGCACGTCTTGCAGCATACTCTTCCTCATTCCGGCGGATGTGTTCCGCCACTGCTGCGTTGCTGGGTTCCCCGTCCAGCGTGTGAAGAGGAAGCTTCGTACCACTCGGCATTGGGTCCGGAGGTGGACACTCTGGAGCTCGTTCTTCTCCTGGCGGTGGACACTCTGGAGCTTGCTCTGGTTCTGGGCCCGCTGGTGGCGGTGGCCCTCCTGACTTTGGAAACCGAACTGGTTCCTGCAAGGCTCGTTCCCTTGCTCGCCGTTGGATCCTTTCCGTCTCTGCTGCGAGTGCAGAGAGTCTCTCCAGCTGCCTTCGCCTGCGTTGCTCAGCAGACACTTGCTGCTCTTGCAGCTCCAAGGCGATGTGCCCAGACGAAAGTGTTCTCGGCTCCCTTCTTGGTGTAGGTGGTGCCTCTTGGTACACCATTGTAGTTTCGGGGCTAGAGGAACTAGGACTCCCGATCTCCACTGGCCCGTCTGGTTCTCCCCCTTCCAAGGGAATGTAATCTCTTCCTTCCACCACTGGTCGTTCGGGCTTCTTCTTCGGCTTTGGAGGCATATACCTTGGTGCACTTCCACTTCAGCTGAACTGCTTGCTGAAGATCCGTAGCCTTTTCCCATGCCAACACGGTGAATTTTGATCTCCTTTCTTCGTGGCTCCATTTCTTCTTCTTGTTCCCCTTCTTCCATGGGCTCTGCGGGTTCCATCGGCTCCATGGGTTCTGTGAGTTCCATTGGCTCCATGGGTTCTGTGAGTTCCATGGGCTCTGTAGGTTCTGTGAGCTCCATTGGCTCCACAGCATCAGGGTTCCAACCCAAACCATCATCACGGCCACGAGGCATGGCTTCGGTCCTGGATGCACAGTGTGCTCCGCTACCATGCTAAACTTCAAGTCGCTCTTTTTCCTTGAACCAGTAAAGGCGCTGTCGGTAAAACATGAGTCACAAATCCACACATGCTCATCAACCCTTTGGGTTGGTAGGTGGGGTTCCCAGGTAGTAGAAAAACTTTACACAATCGCAACACGAGCAACGCGATGCTGGGTGGTTGCAGTGCTTGGCGCAACTTGAGAAACTGAAGGCCCGAGCGTGCTCACAGTCGTTGCGGTGTCGGAAGGGTGCCCAGATGGTGCATTCTGGACTGCTTGGACACGCGGTGCACTCCAACATTCACTGGCATAATGACCCTTCTTACCGCAATTATGACATGTTCCCTTTGCACGCTGGGCGCTGGCCTTTACCTGTGCCTGGGCTTTCTTGCTGGGAACCTTTGCCTTTGGGCTGCTCCTTGCCTTTGCCTTTGGGATGCCTCTCCTTGCCTTTGCCTTTGGGCTGCCTCTCCTTGCCTTTGCCTTTGGGATGTCTCTCCTTCCCTTTGCCTTTGGGATGCCTCTCCTTGTCCTTGCGAATTAACGCATCCACTTCCATGGGCACTGGCGATTGCTCTTGCCCAGCACTTGGCGCCATGGGCACCACACCCAAAGCCTGGTGCATCTTCGCTGAGGTCCAGGAGGTGGTTGTCACCTCATAGCCCAGGACGTAATCCCTGATGCTCTGGTATGTGCTAGCTTCAGACATTTGCAGCTGCACATGTTGTCTCAGCGCATGAGGCAGGCAACGGACCAGTGTCCCTAGCATCACGTGCTCACCTGGCGAGTTGTTGGTGACCTTGCGAAATTCTTCAGCTACCCTTTCTAACCCCTGAATCTGTTCACGAAGGCTCCGGTCTTTCGTGAAGGTTGGCAGGCTCATCAAGGCGTTCAGAAGGGCTAAACCTCGGAACTTGGTTCGTGGTGCAAACGTGTTTGTCAGGACTCTCCAAACCTCCAGGCCACTCTTGTCAGGCACTTGGCGAAGGATTGCTTTAGGCTTTGCACGCAGAACACTGGCAAGGATTGCAAACAACCGCTGGGATCTCGCGACGCGGGCTGCGTCGGCTGTGCTCAGATCCACCGGCGTGTTGAGGTTTTCCTCCACGATCTTGAGATCCGTTTCGTACTCATGATCCGCGAAGACTAGCCAAGTCCGAAAGCTATGACTCCATTCAGCCCATTGAGCAACATCATTGTCATGCACAGCACTGCCAAACTCCGTAGGACGATTCAGGATCTTATTTGCATCGGCAAACCCCGCTGTACCGCTCGAACTTGAGGGCCTGGCAACGGCTGCTTGAGCAGCCTGTGCTGCAGCTTGGGCCGTCTCGACCATCTGTGCCATCAGCATCTGCATCTGGGCCATGTCAAGCTGTCCTGCTGCAGGGCTGCCTGGGAGGAACGGGTTTCCAGTGCCACTGGCTGTGGCTTCCTGAGGCAACACGGGCAACTGCTGGCCTTGCGAGGACTCCATCGGGACTGTGTTTAAGCAGAAAAATGCTCACTCCAAATCAATCACAGAATCGGACTGCTTCAATGCACGGTTGAAGGTTTGGCTCGCACGAGGAGACTTATGGCGACGCTTCAGGCCTTGACGGCTTGCTGGAGGCGCGGGACGCACTGAAGAGCTGGCAGGCTCACAATCAGTGCAGCGCAACAACAAGTGAAGCTCTGCGTCGGCTGCTTCAAGATCTCTCTCAAACGACGAGCTCTCTTCTTGAGGGTGCAGATGTGCAAGCTGTGTGCTCTCAGGTACACAGCTGTCAGCAACCTCCTCAGCCCCGTACACAATGAAAGCCTCTCTGAGATCTCCCTGGCTAAGGCACTCAAGTCCAAACTGCCACACCTCAGGCACGGAGTGCAGTTGCTCAAGACGCTGCTCAAATGCTTCCTGATACCTGTAAAGGATCTTACCCCAAGAGACTTGCGACCTATTCTCAGGTTTGGGCCTGCGAACCAACTGCTCAACGTAGAAGCTATGCAACCTTTCCTTGAGAAGCTCAGTCGACTCCTGGGTCGCCGTCTTGCTCAAGCACGCAATGGCTCGTCCGGTCGGCCCCGGGAACTGCAAGCTACGGGTCCCTGAATCCTAAACCAACAGGACAACGTCAAGAGGCTCCACACGAACTTCGCCTTGCAAAGAACGAGAACCCCGTGTCTCGAAGCTTGGGTCAGCCCAAGCTCCGCTACCATGAAAATGTTTTGAACTCTCAAAGACGCCTTCAGATGCAACTCGATCTCAAAGTGAAACATGTGAGTGCATGAAATACTGCAAAGCAAATCACATGATAAAATGGGGACTTTCGATACGGCAAAATGTTCAACACAAGGCCTAAATCCTTGACCACGTCGACTATGTCAGGGTCCCCTGGCCGCAGCAGCTGTCGCTGCGCCGCGGCCGAGCGGGATGTTCCGGCCACAAATTTTGTTTTCTCTTGGCTGAGGACGAGACCTTCAGCCTGAAGACTGGCCTTGAGCACTCGAAAGGCTTCATAAGCCGCTCCCGCGGCTATATCCGGCGAGGCATGGAGGGAGTCTGCAGAGACATCGTCCAACCATACGTCGCAATGATGCAAGCCTGTGACTCGTTTCAGTCTATGTAAGGGTTCAGACATGGTGAGCTTGGCCAAGGTGGGAGCGTACGGCACGGGCATCCCTGGATCATGCCCCGACCTGGGAAGATGGTGGGACTGGGCTGGGATTCCCCCACCACCGTCCGACCTCCCTGGTAGAGGCGAAGGGAGAGGCACAGGGCCAAGGCTGGGAAAGACAACCGCAAGCCTTGTTCGCAAAGCCTCTGCCAAGAGACGCTGTCGTAAAACCCATTAATGTCTACAAACAACGAGACAGTGTGCAAACCCTTGACTCTGGCAGACTCTTTGGAGCATTTCCTGGCCAGGGCAACGTCCAACGAAGTTCGGCCTGGAATCGCCGAGTCAAAAGGATGATCAGGAATGTAAGAGTCCAGCCACTGGCTGACCATGAACCGCCGAGTCTTACACCAAAGCCGCCATAGGACCGATGTAAGACCGATAGGCCTTTCCTTCAAGGCACTCTTGGCCAGAAGGACAATCTGGACCTGGGAAACTTGGAGGGGAATGGCAAGGTCCTCCTCCATTTTGTTGAAGACGTTGGCTAGGACTGCATACGCGTCCGGGGGCAGGTCTCGAAGATCGCTGAAATCCCAGCCGTCCGGGCCTCCTTTTTTGGAATTCTTGGCGGCGCATACCTTAGCAACGGAGCTAGCAGAATGCTTGGGCAGGGAACAGACCTGTTCCCGGGCTAAGTCACACAAGGCCTCCCATACCTCCCCTTGGAGCGGGGCTGGCGACACCAGGTTACCCTGCCAGACCTCGCACCAAAACTCGAGCCGTTTATAGGGCCGCGCCAGGGGAGTGAACTCCCGATACGGCCGTTCCAAGGTTTGCTCATCAGCGCGAAGGGAGCGGTAAAGGGGACGGAGGTGATCATTTTTCGCCTCTTCTAGCCACGAAGAGAAAGACTCGGAGTTCTGGGAGGTCTGGGAGGCTAAAGCTTCCTTATATTTTGTCTCAACCTGGGGCACCAACTCCCGAGTGAGGCTGCTGCGGTCATCAGCATGAACCCAATCCTTTAGGACGGGAAGAAGGGGGTCGTCCGGAGGGATGGAGGCGAAGGCCTCTGAGGACTTGGGGACCATCCCTGTCTGAAGCCAGGTGCGCCATCTATCCCAGATAGCCATAGGCCCTCCTGTCCAGGCACCTCCTCCAACTGGGTGCGAGGCCAACGGCCTGCGGGGAAGGTCGACCCACCAGCCCTTACCTGTGGTGGCCTGGGCCTCCGACTGAAGGTCGCGGGACCATTGGCCCAAGGCGAGAGAGGACTCCTCCTGGGACGCCACATCCAAGATCTGGACCAGCTGGACTGGGGAGCTTGCGTGGAAGGAGGAGGGGGCCGGGGACACCACCGACCTGATGGCGGGGACTCTCTCTATGTGGATTGGTCTAGGCCCTGAAGGTGAGCCAGGTGCGGGCCTGCATCGGTTCCTGTACCACGTGCAGGAGCATCGTTGTCAGGCCCGTGAGTGGCTCCAGGCAAACGCTGCCAATGGTCTCCGTGTTCACTCCTACCTTCTGGCCACGTTGGCCACCTTGTTGCACTTGTATGCCTGTGGGGTAGATGCCAAGGATGTGGGCATTTCCAACCTGAGCCACAGGCCGCAAGGCACGAGGTCGGTTCCCCTCCCGGCCTTCATCGATGCCAACAATTGGGGCCCCTCCCAAGGGAGGCCGGAATGGACGGGCTTTTGGAAGGTAGTTACCAAATATTGCCCCCATGATGCGGGCTACTTTCGGCAAGTTTCCAGAATTCCTCCCCAGGCGTGTTTTGACCAGATATGCCACACCCTTGGACCTTTGGGGGAAGAAGTTCGCTGGCTGTGCACCACCCCGGCCTAGGAGGCTGTGGAAACAGGGCTGCTTCTCTGGGGGCATCCAGTTCCCAGCCCTAGGGCTGTGGTCGCAAACTTCTTCCTGATGAGTAGCTGTAACATAGTTCCCTGTAGATGGCCTGTGGGTGCACCACTTCCCAGCTTTTGAGCTGTGGTTTTGCCGTAGCAGGGTGACCGACTGCCCGAGAGACAATGTCTCGCCCCAAAGGGGCTCCGGGCGAATTCGTTTGCATGAAGGACACCCACTGGGTAACGCTCTCGCGCTTGCTGAAGAAAAGTTTACGCTGGAATCTGTCCTGCAGGCATTGGGCATGCAAGAGGCCAGCCTTACCGAGGAGCAAAAGAGGAAGCTGGAAGCTCTTCAGTCCGATGAAGCCAAGCGCAGACGCATGCAGGCCGATCCAGGCCTTCCCCCGGGTCTGCCACCCTCGCAGGCCGCGGTGATGCCTGACCTCGCCGAACCCCGCCAGGGGGACCGGTGGGGGGCCAGGCCCCGGGTCAGGCATCGCAAACGGGTTAGGGAGCTGGGTTTGGGGCTTGCAGGGCGCTGGAGGTTTTGGATTCCAGGGATAACCTGTTCCCTCCGCACTTGTCCGAGTCGTCCCTCTCCCCGACAACCCGTGTTTCCTTCTTTGGTCAAAATTTTGTCACCTTGCCCGAGACGTTTTGCCAATCCCCTTCCCAAGCAGATGTCTTCAGCCTTAGCTGTTGTGAGGTCTGCAGGTGTCAGGCCGGGGAGGACCCGTGCCACACCCTTTTCCAGGTAGGGGATGGTCTCGCGCTTGCAGTTTTGTGTCGGCTGTGCCGAGGATGGGCCTCCCATGAATGTGCCGTGGTGCCTGAGTGTCAGAGTTGCCTGGTGGAGCTTCCAAGCTACACCCGGTCATCTAGACACGCGGTTCTGTGTGGCATGTGTCAGGGTCAGCCCATCCAGAAGGATTGGGATTCAGGATTGGGGCAGGTTTCGCTTGGAGCGAAATGTGTACCAACCAAAGATCCTTCACCAGTCCCAATATCTTTAGCAGCGCTATGCCAATATGAGGTGGTCCACCATCCCATGGTGACGGGGCCGAGGTATTTTCCTCTGGAGGCTTTGTGCGACATGCAGTTGTATGAAACCCCCAGCACTTCTACTCCCCTCGTCTCAGGAGGTGGATCTCGACCCACAGGTACCCAGTCGTCTTGTCGCAGCAGAAGAACCCGACGACGTCGCAACAGGACGGCCCGGCCTCTCAAGGCTAGGGAGCCTTTGGATTCAGCTATCGTAGCCTGGAACACGACAACACAGCATGAAAAGACGGACAAGTGGGGCCAGTTAGCGGGTTTGGTGTCCCGGGGCTTTCAGCAGGGCTTTTTGTCTGTGGAGTCTAGCATGGTAGGCCTTTTCGAAGATGACGAACCCACCGACCCCTTGACTTTGGAGTATTTGGTGGTCCACAAAATGTTTCAGGCCCTTGCTTCCCCCAACCCGAGCCCAAGTGACTGGGTATTTGTCCTTCGAGGTTCGGAGGATCTTTCTGCCAACTCTTACGAAGTTAAACCTAGGAATCTCAAGGTCTGTTCGGCCAATGTCACCCGATGGCGGTCGAGTCACCGGAAATGGGCCCATACCTTGTCCCCGGACATTCTTATGCTGCAAGAACTTCACCTTACCAAAGAGGACCTTAAAACTGAGACCCGTCATTTGATGAATTTGGGGTTTGTGCTCTTTGGTGTTGCTAGCCCGAAAAGTGCCAAGGGAAACCCCCTCGGAGGAGTAGGGATTGCAGTCAAAAATCACTTGGGGCCCAGGATCCTAGTGACCTTCCACGCCTCGCAAGGCTGCGGTTATGTCATCGTGGCGTTGCGCTCCAAAGGGGTAGATTTCAATTGGATCTCCTTGTACCTGGAAAGTGGGACTGGCTTGGATAGCCCAGTCAACGATTTTATCCTGTCTAGCCTTACCCAACATTTGTCCCTCCTTCAAGGCATGTGGGTGGTTGGTGGGGACTTTAACGTTCCGATTCAGGACTTCCTTAACTCCAGGTATGAAGAAAGGTGGCAGGGCCGGGTGGTGGGCAGTGGGTCTCCTACGGCGGGAGGGGACTCCGAGATTGACTTCTTCGTCGTCCACCCCAGTCTTCAGTCCCTGTCGACGGTCCGGCTGTCTTTTGACACCCCTTTCAAGCCTCACGGACTTCTAACCTTGGACGTGCCAGTGCACTCCCTCCAGTTGCCACTGGTGAGGATGGGAGCCAGGAGCCGGGGAAAACGCCGCGCCATATCGATCTCCGGACCATTCAAGGATGCATCATCCGTGAGCTTCAAGACCAACGCCTGAGACAGCTGGTAGCCTACACGGCTTTGTCCCCAGCCCAGGCGCGTGAGAACTCGGGCTTCCACCACAACCTGCCGAATCGGGTCCCACGTAAGCGTGAGCTCTGGGGGAAGGAAGTGCCGAGGCGAGGCGGGCCGCTTGATGTAGCTTGCTGCCTCACCAGCCGCGTGCACACCCGGGGTAAAGTCTTGTGCTTCTCTACGCATGCGTTGTCGCCGGCCTGCTCAGCCTCAGGGGCTGGGTCTGCAGGGGGCCGGGCCCCGGACTCCGAGGGGGATCTAGGTGCATGCTGGTTGGGAAGGTCACGGCTGGACCTAGCCTCCTGACCGGCTTCCAGGTGGAGGGGAACGGGTTGAGTCGCGCGGAACCCAACGCAAATCCACACCGGACCCTGCTACCTGAGGCCTCCTCCTTCGCGGAGGGGTGGGAGGGGTAGGGCTTCTGTCCACCGAGCGCAAGACCAGACGAGGGGAAGGAGAGCGCCGACGGTCACGCCGAGGAACCGGAGGAGGGGGAGGCGGCCACGCCTTCGCCGCCGGCTGGGCCGAAGAGCTGGAACCCCCTGGATCCGCCTCCTCAGGGAGGGTGCCCCTTCCTGCTGGTCGTCTCCCACAGGAAGGCCCTGGTCTATACGCTGTTGCCTTCGGATGTGGGGCGGGGGCCGTCGCTTGGAATGCTGGAGGGTTGCCGTAGATCGCCACGACTTCCCCTCAGCCATCCGTTGGCGCTGCTCGCGCCAGTAGGGCCCACGACCCCTGCCCTGCGAGCCCCCCATCACTGCTTCTTGAAGCAAAAGGTCTGCTGCCCAGAGGGAAGCTCTTTCTTCTTTTTGGCTCGGCCGCCGGCTTCGCGCGCACTTGCCCCAGGAAGGGAAACCACTTCCTTTGTCCTGCCCGGCCCCACCTCTGACACGTGCGAGGCTGCAACCTTAGGAAGGGAAGCCACTTCCTTTAAAGCAGAAGAAGAACCTGGAGTGTCCGGCCGCCCAGGAGGCGTGGAAACCGAGGCCTGGGCATGAAAGGACAGGGTTTGGTTATTGTGAAGTTTTTTACAGGGTTTCTGGAGACCTAAACAAGGCTGAGAATGGCCTGGAAGGAGGGTAAGATGGCACCCAGAGCACAGCCATCTACGTCCTTCATTTTTGAGCCGGTGCGTCGGGTGGAGGGTAGGCCAGAACTGGGGACCGTTATGGGGCATGTCAATGCACGGCTGCGCAAGCAAACGTTCTAGCCTATCCATCTCATGAACCTGCTGGAGGTAAAGCTTACACTTCACACAAGTGATTGCCAGATTATTTGTTTTCAACCCCCCTACTTGCCAAACATGACCACCTACTGCTTCCGGGACATCCACTTTCGCCATCAAGAGCTGGCGTTTATTGGGCCCTTTGGGTGGTTGGGGTTCCTCCCTTTGGCTTCGGGGGACAAAATCATCTTTTGAGGCGTGTTTCAAAACAACCACAGCTCGCGACGCCAGGTAATCGCAGATCCTGGTCACGAGCCTATCCAGGTCCTGGACTTTCCGCCCCGCTACAGGCGATATGGTGGCAGCTCGTTTGCCCGCCAACTCGTCAGCGCACTGGTTGGCCTGGTGTCTCCAAAGCTGGGAAAAGCCAAACCGAATTTCGAACTCACGGCTAGTTAGGTGGGATTTTACCCAAGTGGGCCTTATCCTACCACGGTCCTCCCAGACCGGGCCCCAAAAAGCCGGGGTTGTTTTTTGAAAGGATTTTTTGGTAAGGGTCCTTAGGGCTGGTTTACAGTCCCCCGTGAGGTCAACCTGACCAAGGGTGTGTTTGATCGTCTGCACAATGGCATAAGATTCACCATGCGCGACGCTCGTTCCGGGGGGGGTGAGGCCAGACATGGTTCCTAACTCCTGAAACTGACCATTTTGAACCCGCCCCACGACTACAGACCAGCTGACCCTTCGCAATCGCGGATCCTTGGTGAACACGCCCCCTGACGCGTCTGTAGCAACCACCAACCCGTCTGCTACTACCTGGGAGGACGTAAGAAACACGCCCGTCTTGACCACTTCTAGGTCCCCCGAGGGAGCGACTGGGAGGTATTTAAGGGGAAGCATACCCCGAAGCCACAGGCAGTCAGGGAAACGGCGCTTCTCCGCCAGAACATACCCCGGCAACCGCATGCCGCCAGGGAAGGAAGGGCACTCATACATGAGGTGGCGCAAGGTGGCTCCGGAATCGCCACAAAACTTACAGACATCCTTGCCACCGTTGCCGTTATGGAGAATGGACCCTTGGAAAACAGCCCGATAGGCGTACCGGGTCGTTTTTGTGCGCACTGACTTGAGCAGGCGGCGCGGGACCGTCCAGTCGACCCCGTCACCAGCCCCCGCTGCCGACGAGGCCGAGCCCATGCGACGAGACCTCTGGGTCTTGATGATGTCTGCGAGGAAAGACGAGGTTTGGCAGACAACCGAAACCTCAGAAGGCTTAACTTCGAGGACGCGCTCCTCAAAAACCCAGCGGGAAGGATCATGGCCGTCGACCTGGAGGTCGCGGAGGTATTGGCACATGGCTGAGATGGGTCCTGTGACCACGGACCACCCGTGCTTCGCAGCCTCTAGCCGCTTCCAGACCACTCTCCAAGTGTCCTTTACTGCCTCCCATCCCATTCGGTTACATCTGGCCATCATCCTGAAAAGACTTTCCACGTGCTGGGTTACCACAATAAGGTAGGGATCCTGAACCTCGTGGGCGGTCATATCTCGAATGGTGTCTGTTGAACCGTATCGGCTCCTGCCTGCGTGTCGGGCTACCGCTGCGCGCATGGTTTTCATATGCTTAGGGGCAACCCCCTGTGCTTCGTGGCCATAAAGACCCGAGGTGACCACACTGGAACGGTGCAACCGTAGCCGGACGCGGCGTGACGGGATGCGAAGCTTACCCAACTTCAGGTTACGAAGGCCACCTACCCGGAAGCGTTTCTGGGCAGTAGTAGTCCTACGCCGACGGCCACTGCCACTGTCAAGGCCTAAATCCTTGACCACGTCGACTATGTCAGGGTCCCCTGGCCGCAGCAGCTGTCGCAGCGCTGCGGCCGAGCGGGATGTTCCGGCCACAAATTCTCTTGGCTGAGGACGAGACCTTCAGCCTGAAGACTGGCCTTGAGCACTCGAAAGGCTTCATAAGCCGCTCCCGCGGCTATATCCGGCGAGGCATGG